TCTTCCCTCCTTTGTCATAGATTAGGTGACCATAAGTGTGTGGGTTTACCTCTAGGGTTTCTATCCTGTTCCACTGATCTATATTTCTGTTTTTGAACCAGTATCATACTGTTTTGGTGGCTGTAGCTTTGTAGTATAGTGTGAAGTCAGGGAGCCAGATTCCTCCAGCTCTGTTTTTCTTTCTCAAGATTACTTTGGCTATTAGGGGTATTCTGTGTTTTCATACAAATTATAAAATTTTTTGTTCTAATTCTGTGAAAAATGCCATTGGTAATTAGATAGGGATTGCATTGAATCTGTAGATTGCTTTGGGTAGTATAGTCATTTTCACAATATTGATTCTTCCAATCTGTCTGGTTTTGGTATCAGGGTGATGGGGACCTCATAGAATGAGTTTGGGAGTTTTTCTTCCTCTGCAAATTTTTGGAAGAGTTTTAGAAGAATAGGTGTTAGCTCTTCTCTAAACATTTGATCGAATTCACCTGTGAAGCTATCTGGTCCTGGACTTTTGATTGTTGGAAGATTTTTTATCATAGTTTCAATTTCATTACTTGTGATTTTTCTGTTCATATTTTCTGTTTCTTCCTGGTTCAGTCTTGGAAGGTTGTACCTTTCTAAGAAGTTGTCCATTTGTTCCAGGTTGACCATGTTTCGCCATGTAGTTGCTTGTAGTAGTCTCTTATGATCCTTTGTATTTCTGTGGTGTCAGTTGTAACTTCTCCTTTTTCATTTCTAGTTTTCTTGATTTGATTCCACTCCCTTTTTTTCTTGATGAGTCTGGCTAAAGGTTTATCAATTTTGTTTATCTTTTCAAAGAACCAGCTTTAGTTTTATTGATCTTTTCTATTTTCTTCACCTCTATTTCATTTATTTCTAGTCTGATCTTTATGATTTCTTTTGTTCTGCTAACTTTGGGTTCTGTTTGTTCTTTCTCTAATTGATTTAGGTGTAAGGTTAAGTTGTTTATTTGAGATTTTTCTTGTTTCTTGAGCTGGGATTGTATTGGTATAAATTTCCCTCTTAGAACTACTTTTGCTGAGGCCCGTAGGTTTTGGATTGTCATATTTTCATTGTCATTTGTCTCCAGGTACTTTTTAAAATTTTCTCTTTGATTTCTTCAGTGAGCCATTGTTTATTTAGTAACATATTGTTTAGCCTCCAAGTGTTTGTATTTTTTATGGTGTATTTTCTATAATTGATTTCTAGTCTATAGCGTTGTGGTTGGAAAAGACGCTTGATATGATTTCAGTTTTCTTAAATTTACCGAGGCTTTAATTTTGACTGACCATATGATCCATCCTGAAGAATTTCTATGTACATTTGAGAAGAAAGTGTATTCTGTTGCTTTTGGATGGAATGTCCTATAAATATCAATTAAGTCTACCTGGTCTAATGTGTCATTTAAGGCTTGTGTTTCCTTATTAATTTTCTGTCTGAATGATCTGTCCATTGCTGTAAGTGGGGTGTTAAAGTCCCCCACTATTATTATGTTACTGTCAATTTCCCCTTTTATGGCTGTTACATTTGCCTTATATATTGTGGAGCACCTATGTTGAGTGCATATATATTTACAATTGTTATGTTTTCTTCTTGGATTGATCCCTTGATCATTATGTAGTGTCCTTCCTAGTCTCTTGCAACAGTCTTTATTTTAAGGTCTATTTTATCTGATGTGAGTATTGCTACTCCAGCTTTCTTTTGATTTCCATTTGCATAGAATATCTTTTTCCAACCCCTCAGTTTCAGTCTGTATGTGTCCCTAGGTCTGAAGTGGGTCTCTTGTAGACAGCATATATATGGGTCCAGTTTTTGTATCCATTCAGCCAGTCTGTGTCTTTTGGTTGGAGCATTTAATCCATTTACATTTAAGGTAATTATCAATGTGTATGTTCCTATTCCCATTTTCTTAATTGTTTTGGGTGTGTTTTTGTAGGTCTTTTCCTTCTCTTGTGTTCCTTGCCTAGAGAAGTTCCATTAGCATTTATTGTAAAGCTGGTTTTGTCATGCTGAATTCTCTTAACGTTTGCTTGTCTGTAAAGCTTTCGATGTCTCTGTAGAATCTGAATGAGATCCTTGCCGGGTAGACTAATCTTGGTCGTAGGTTTTTCCCTTTCATCACTTTAAATATATCCTGCCACTGCCTTCTGGCCTGCAGAGTGTCTGCTGAAAGATCAGCTGTTAACCTTATGGGGATTACCCTGTGTGTTATTTGTTCCATTTCCCTTGCTGCTTTTAATATTTTTTCTTTGTGTTTAGTTTTTGTTAGTTTGATTAATATGTGTCTTGGTGTGTTCCTCCTTGGATTTATCCTGTATGGGACTCTCTGGGCTTCCTGGACCTGGGTGACTCTTTCTTTTCCCATGTTAAGAAAGTTTTGGACTATAATCTCTTCACATATTTTCTCAGACCCTTTCTCTTTTTCTTCTTCTTCAAGGACCCCTATAATTCAAATATTGCCACGTTTAATGTTGCCCCAGAAGTTCTGAGACTGCCCTCATTTCTTTTCATTCTTTTTTCTTTATTTTGTTCTGTGGCAGTTATTTCCACCATTCTATATTCCAGCACATGTATCCATTCTTCTGTGTCAGTTATTCTGCTATTGATTCCTTCTAGTGTACGTTTCACTTAAGTTATTGTATTGTTCATCTCTGTTTATTTGTTCTTTAGTTCTTCTAGGTCCTTGTTAAACATTTCTTGTCTTTTCTCGATTTATGCTTGTATTCTATTTCTTAGATCTTGCATCATCTTTACTATCATTACTCTGAATTCTTTTTCAGGTAGATTGCCTATTTCCTCTTCATTTATTTGGTCTTGTCTATTTTTACCTTGCTCCTTCATCTGTAACTTATTTTTCTGTCATCTCATTTTGTCTAACTTTCTGTGTTTGTGGTCTCCTTTCTGCAGGCTACAGTGTTGTAGTTCCTCTTGTTTCTGGTGTCTGCCCCCTGTTGGGAGAGGTTGGTCCAGAGGCTTGTGCTGTTATCCCCTTGATAGGGGCTTTGATTTGTGTTGTGGTGATCAGATATTGCCCTAGATATTGAGCAGGGGCTCCCCTTTGCTCTGTGGTTGTCACTGCCCTGTCAGGGGTGGAGTCTGCTCCCTAGTTGTTGGAGTAGAGGCCCCCAGATCTGTTTCTTCACTGTGATTCTGATCTATGGTGCAAGGTAGGAAGAATTAGAGCATTCCCACTAGGAGAGAAGCCACTGAGTTTTCCTCCTTTAGAGCTGTTCACCTGTGTATATGCTCTGTTGTGTCCCCTTTCACCCACTGTGTGGGGTCAGAAAGTATCTGTTGTTGGCACTGCTCTCAGTTCCATCTTAACTGTGGGTATGCTGGTAATTGGCCCTGGTAACTCTCGGACATTCTTTTCACCCAGCCACCAGTGCAGGTCTACTGAGGTTAGGTCCCAGTACTGCAGTAATCATGCACCTGGACCCACTGTGGGGACTATGGAGGCAGCTCAAACTTGGTCTGGCCCTACTCCCACATGTACATGCCCACAGAGCCCACAGCTGGTAAAGCCAAACCCATCCCAGATGCAAGAGCACTTGTCCTTTCAGATGTTTCGCAGACACTGAATTTAGGAAGCTGTCAACCGAGGTGTAAGTCCACAGTTTGTGCAGCCACGAGGAGAGATTTAAGCTCTTATTTCTTAGTCACATAGCCCCTGGGGCTCAGCTGTGGTTTCAGCCCCTCCTCTGGGTGAATTTCCTAGTGCAGGGAACTATCTGCACCCTCCTGGGACACCATGGAAAGTCCTGGCACCCACTAGCAAATTTCCTAGTGGGAGGCGTTATCCACACACTCCCAGGACACCTGGCTGGTCCTGGAAGCCACTGGCGGATTTCCTAGTAGTGAAAGGTTTCCGTGCACTCCTGGGACAGCAGGGCCGGTTCAAGTACCCACTGATGGATTCTGGGGTAATTCTTGAAGGATATTGTTTTGAGAAGTAAAAATATCCTCTCCCACCTGTGGCACCACACCACTACCTCATACCTACCACAGAGATTGAACCACTTGAAGATCTATGGCCCTACTGCCCAGAATTATAGTTCCTAAAATCTGAGTTATTAAACTAGAATAATGCTCCAGCCAGTGGAGGTCTTCGGAAGGATGGTTAATAGTAACCTATGGCACTGAAAAATTTAAAGAGTTCTTACCAACCACCTCCCAACCCCATGTATTCCAAAGAGGTACTTGGAGGTTTCTCTACCAGTGAGTTGTAAACTTGCTTCTTCATTTTTCTCATTATCCAGAAGATAATTATTGAATCACTCAAACACACACATTCTTATGAACATAATTAATTCTTTGAAATTAATTCTTTGAATATAAACTCAAATGCCTAGGGACAATCAGAAATAAATGAAACAGGAAAGTTAAGAAAAATAGAGATGGTAAGAATTATGGGCAGGTGTTTATAACCATGTGTGAATAAGAGTCCAGGGTTGCCAAATCTTTCATATTTTCAAGAGAAGTTGAGAATCAAGATTTTTATGTAAATTGTCCAGATTTTTAGCACAGTTCAGACTCAACATGACTGCCAATTTTGAACTTTTGGCTAAAAGAAAAAGAGAAATATACAATATTTTCCTGGTTACTCCATAATTTGCAAGACTGATTTTTTTACCAATGAGTTAGTTCTTCACATTATAGAAAATAGTGTAGCTTTTTAGAAAAGACTTTTTCCACAGCAGGGCTTGGGAAGTGGAAGGGGGACGTGTGTGCAGGCCTGCCCAAAATTAGAAAGAGCTTCATTAAAGGCCTTCTCTTAGTTGCAAAAGACCTAGATAAGGTTCTGAAATTACTATTTGCAAAGGTATTTAAATTCTTAGCAAAGGGCCTTTTTTTATTTAAAACTTGTTTTTTCTAAGTAATTAAACTTTTGAAATATGAAAACACTCTTATATAATAAATGTATTGTTTTGGAACTATTTTCTGTGTTGCGATTTTATAAACTTATTGTCAGTTCTGTTGTCTACCTTGTGTTTTAAATACAGAGCTTTTGAAGAGAAACGAAAACAACAAGAAGAAAGAGAACACCAAATCAGAGAACAAATACTTCAACAACGAAAAAAAAAGTTTGAAGAAGTTACTGAAAAATTCCAGCGGGCCCATATTCCTCTTTCACAGCGGAAGAGAACAGGTGCCTTAATTTCTAGAACAATATAAAAACAAAAAATGAAAGTTATAATCACATTCAGCTTGAGTAGACAATAAAATAAATTAAGAAACAAAGTGGAAATTCAGACTAAAAAGGCTACTATGCCTTTTGAATAACAGGACTAAAGTGAAATGAAATGAAAAATTGCAATTTGATATAGGTTTAATTTGGAGAATTAATATTTTGTTGGCTCTATTTGTAAATTTGGAAAGCACACAAGTTTGATTCTACTTAATACTGGCTTACAGTGTTTTGTCTTTTTAAAACTGATTTAATAAATAGCTTAACATAAAAAGAAAATTTAGCATTTAGGTTTAGTAAATTTATATATATATACATATATATATATATACACATATCCTTTTTTTTTTTTTTTTTTTGGCTGCACCACACGGCATGTGGAATCTTAATTCCATGACCAGGGATCAAGCCCGTGCCCCCTGCAGTGGAAGCATGAAGTCTTAACCACTGGACCGGCAGAGAAGTCGTTAGGTTTAGTAAATTAATGTCAGATTCATTTTGGCATTTTGTCCACATTTTTGCTCAAATTCATATTTGAGAGACTGGCAAAATAAAACAAAAGTACAGAGTGACATAATCCAACAATCTAAGACTGAAACCAATTCAGAATTTTTAAATGATTATGTTTGATTCTTCAATATCACATCTATATTTTTTTATGCCTTACATAGTAACACAGAATTAGCAACAAAATGTCAAAGCTTCAAAAAAATAGGAGAAGCAGAACCTTTATGTATTCAGCAAACATATGTTATGCTCCATTGTACACAGCCCTGGGCTAAGCTGAGATGCTGAGATACAGAGAAATCTAATTGTACTCTACCATTAAAGACCTCACAGTTTATTTTGGAGATGAGAGTGATATAAACAATTAATGTCAATAAATATAATTGCTATGGTAGCAGAATGTGTAAAGTACTATGAGAGCACAGAGGAAAGAACACTAAACTTATACAGGGATATGAGGGATATCATCCCTGGAAAATTTTGAATCTTAAAGAATAAGCATTTTGCCAAGCAAAGAGACAATTTAAAAACATCCCAGACATAAGGAACAGCTTTTACAAGTAAATTATACATTGCAAATACAAAGTGTATCCAAAGCATAGGATGGGGAAAAAAATGGATATAAGGCTAGAAAAATGAGTTGGAACAATTCTCTAAGAACTTTGTATCCCATGCTAGGAATTTTGTCTTTATCCAATATGCAGTCCACTTAAAGTTTTTTAACTGGAAAGAAGCCAGTTAACTGGGTCAATAAAAGATCTTACTGAAAGTTAAGGGCAGCTAGTAACACTGCTAAAAATAATAATATCTTAAACATCATAGGGGTTTATTTTTCTCTAGTGTAATATGAAGTCCTCAGTTCGGCAGTCAGGAGCTGGTTTGATGATTATGCAAAGTCACTGGGAACACAGACTCCTTCTGTCTCTCAGCTCAGCTGCCCTCAGTATGTGATTTACATAGCTTTACCCTCATGTTCATATGGTAGCGGCTGAAGCTCCAGACATAATGTCAGTGTTGTAGACAGGAAGAAGGAAGAAATGGAAAGGACAGAAGGGTATACCTCTGAGCTCCCTTTAAATTGTTTTCCTAGAAGCCCCCATCTATCTGCTTATATCTAATTGGCAACTCCATCTGCAAGGGAGACTGGAAAATATAGTTGTTGTTTTTTTTAATGTGGCTGTATTGCCACCCCTAACAATATAGGGTGTGTCACCAAGGAACAAAGGGAAAATGGATATTAGGTAGGAAACTAAGAGTCTGTGCTAAAATTAGATTTGTTGGAAAGGTAATTATCCATACAACATGGAAGGTGAATTGAAGTAGAGACATATTAAAGTAGGTAGACTAGTAGTAGACTATTTCAGTATTTGTGGCAAGAAGTGTTAAGCTGCTAAATTAAAGCACTGCACTGGATATAGAGACAGGAGGTAATATATTCAAGAGATATAATCAATAGATTCAGTTACTAATTTATCAAGATGGCTGGAAGAAAGACTAGGAGAACAGTGCCCCTAGGAACTAGCGCATAGCCTCACAAATTTTTAGCACTCAGTAAGGACTTGGTTAATGAATCAATTATTTTGGTGGATGATGATATTAATCAAGGTTGCACGTAAAGAAGAAGAATCAGGTTAGAGATAAAGATTATTAAGTTTTAAATGCATTGATTTTGAGCTTCCCATGACTCATGCAAATAGGGAAATCAAATCAACAACTAGAAATATGTATCTGAAACTTAAGAAAAAGATATGGAATAGAAATTACATTTAAGAGTCACTGATGAATAGATATATAGTTGGTAAAGGAAGCCACGTGGAAAGGTAAGGTAAATATTGGATATAGATGCAGACTGAAGATAGGGCCTAAAATAGAACCTTAGTGCACAGTAGCATTTATTATAAGTAGAGAAATGAAAACTAAAAATGGATTTTGAAAAGTAGTTATCAAGAAAGTAGGATGGGAAACAAAAGCAAAAAAAGAAAATTGTTATAAGAGGCAAAAGAAAAGGTAGTTTTAAGAAAGCGGATGTGGTCAGTTGTATTAAATGCCTCAGAGTACTCACCACTCATGAGTATCATTTGCCCCAGAGGGGGTGCTGACTACCCAAGGGCCTACGTACAGAAAGTGAGGAGTTTTAGTAAAAACAAATGACGTACACATTCACTCAATGGAATATAATGCAGCTATTAAAAAACTGGGAAATTCTTTATGGACTTATATGGAACAAACTCCAGCAGAGATAGATTTACCATAAAGCCAATAAGGTTTCAGTTTCACTGTCATGGCCTCTACATCTAATTTTATATTAGTAGTTTTGCAGTATTTTTTCTTAATGAAGCCCCCCAAATTGCATAGATTCATATCAGTATACATAATATTCTACCTTCTGTGTAAGACAAGAGGGAAATTAGAATATATATTAAGGGAGGAGATCAAGATGGTGGAGTAGGAGGACATAGAACTCACCTCCCCCAACAAACACATCAAAAATACATCTACATGTGAAACAGTTCTCACTGGAAACTGGTAGAAAGACTCCTGTGCAGCCAAGGCTGAAAGAAAGATCCACATGGAATAGGGTAGGAAAGAAAGAGAAGCGATCAGGTTGGGACCTGTGCTCCAGGAAGGGTACTCAGAGGAAAAGGGAGATTACACAGGCAGAAATCCTCCCTGGGGAGTGAGTGATTCTGTTCCAGCCACATATTGGGCGCCCCAGTCCTGGGCTCCAACACAGGGAAGATGAGCCCCTAGGCTGGTTGGAGGGCTGGTGGGACTAACAGGAGGGCTGTGGGAAGCCTGTACTTGAGTTTGGGGGGAGTACACGCACACTTGCTTACTCCCAAAAGAGGGCAGAGAGGCATATTGAAACTGCGCAGGTGGCTGACTGGTTTCCTGAAACTGCTCTGGAGCACACCGCAGCCTGAGCCAAGTGAATGCTCAATCCCTGCTTACTTCATGTCACAGCTCCACACTGGAACTAGGGCTGCCACAACCAAAGAAACAGCTCAGCCATGAGACACAGAGGCAATTCAGAACCAAAGTGGTATCCTTTGGGTGAGGGCAGCCATTATGGACACTTGCACAGGCAGCACATCAAAAGCAGCCCAAACTCTGTATGTGGCCAAACTGTTGCAGCCTGCACCTGGTCACACACCAAGAGCTCACACTGGCCCCTCTTGTTTCAGCACTGCTTACGTCAGGGGCAAGAGTGCTGGTGCTGGGAGAGGGGAAGCTCACACTTAAATGGAACAGAGCTAGCTCAGACCCAACCCTTCTGGGCTTCTGCTCCAGCAACTTGGGACCCGACCCTGGCCCCAATAAGGCGGTGACAGTCCCTGAGCAGAGAGGAAGCCCCAGCTCACTCCTGGCTCTGGCCCTCCCCCACCCCCTTCTTCAGCCCCACATCCTTCCAAAGTGATAGCTGCCAGCACACCCTGAGGAAATACATGACTTGTGTTCATGTCAAATCCAGCCCTCCCACCAAAACCACTGGACACACAGGCTGTATAGGGATGCTCCCACATAAGGACACCCCTTCAAGACAGCAATAGGTAGCTGTTTCACCTAATTTCATAGAGACAGAGACTGTTAAGCAAAATGAGAAGACAGAAGAATTTGTCTCCATTGAAAGAGCAAGAGAAAAAAACAAATAATGAAACAGAAATAATTTACCAGATAAAGAACTCAAAGCAATAGTAATAAGAATTCTAACTGAATTAGGGAAAATATATACAATGGAATATTAGCCGCAAAAAAGAATGAAATTCTGCCATTTGCAACAATGTGGATGGACCTATAGAGTATTATCCTTATTGCAATAAGTCAGAGAAAGACAAGCTCTGTTATCACTTATGCAAAATCAAAAAAAGAAAACAAATGAATGTATATTTAAAAACAGAAATAACCTTACAGATACAAAGAACAAACTAGTGGTTACCAGTGTGGAGGGTGAAAGGGTGGAACAAATAGGGGTATGGGTTAAAACAGGGGTCCCCAACCCCTGGACCGTGGACCACTACTGGTCTGTAGCCTGTTAGGAACAGGGCCGCACAGGAGGAGGTGAGCAGTGGGCAAGTGAGTGAAGCTTCATCTGCCACTCCCCATTGCTCCCCATCACTCGCATTACTGCCTGAACCATACCCCCCAACCCCATCTGTGGAAAAATTGTCTTCCACGAAACCAGTCCCTGGTGCCAAAAAGGTTGGGGACTGCTGGGTTAAAAGACACAAACTACTATGTATAAAATAGACAAGCAGCAAGGATATACTGTACAGCACAGGGAAATATAGCCATTATTTTTTAATAATGTTAAATGGAGTATAATCTATAAAAATATTGAATATCTGTGTTGTACACCTGAAACTAATATAGTGTTGTAAATGAACTATACTTCAACTTTTTAAAATAGAATATATACTTATGTATGTTTGTATTCGCATAAACAGTGATAGAATACACAAATGACCAATAAGAGCAAGACTTCCAAATGTATATTTTATTTTTTTGATTTCTGAACATGAATATATTACCTGTACAAAATATTAGATTAAAATTTTAAGAAAATGTAATGCCATGAGTGAAGAGCAACAACAAAGCTATGATAAATAACTGTTTATTTAATTGTCTATTGGTTTAGTTTATTCCCAAATTATGAGAGTTAAACCAAAGGTTCACCCTACGTGCATGATAGCTGATGCTTCCCCTTGCTTCGAAAAAGGGATTGGGAGTTCCGATGAGGTCAGAAAATTTTTGGAGTCAGAGAATGTTGGAGTTAGAATATTAGAGCAAAAGAACTGAAAGGAGGAGCCTAGTGGTTTAAATGAAATAATAAAGCCCGAATACACCATAAGTACACAAAAAATGTAAACTTAAATTTTCATCAGTGAGTATGAGGTAGTGACTAGAAGGTCATTAGACAACAGCAACAAGAAAGAGTAATGGGTGTTTGTAAACTGTTTGTAAAACTACCTTAGTTTTAAAGGTAGTTTTTAAGTTCTCTTTGATAGACAGTAAGTGGTGAGTGTTAATAAAAGCAAAGTCTCAGACTATAGTCTAGCACAACTAAACATTTTTTAGCAAAGCAGACAAAAAACGATTGGTACTACTTGTTCGCTAAGCTCAATAAAGTCCCAGTTCTGTGTCCTTTTAGGTGCTTTGACTACACTTTATATGAAAGGTTCACTCAGACTTACACAGTCACATTCCAGAGACAAAATTTACGTGCCTTCTGGTATTGGACCATCAGAAATATTCCTGTTTAACAGCTGGAGCCAAGACTAATCAGAGATCAAACCTCAATACCATCTGTAAGGGTATAGGGTATAGACCTCCCTAGATTCTTATTCTCTGTTCATGCAAGGGTAGAGAGTGATTAAAATATTTTAGGAAAGTCCACTTAAGTATCTTAAATTTCAACAAAGAAAATCCATTTTTAACATTCATCAGGCTGTGCAACTGGCCATTAGTTTTTCCAATAAGGAACCATTTGAGACATTGATTATGCTAATTAGAAAAACAATCAAAATCTAAAGCTTGATAGTTTCTGCCTCAAGAGGATTGGCCCTTTATGATTAGAATATCCAGCAAACCATCTTGTAACTGTGCATTTTTCACTTGTATTTTATGCAATCACCCCTTGACTCTAGAGTTCAAGTTTGAACTAACCCATTCATAAAAATATACTGGTTTTGCTTAAACATTTTAAGGTAAATAACAAACACTATAATAGTGGAAAAGTCTGAGGACATGGGTTTTTTAAAGAAGAAAGGAGGAAACAGTTTGGTAGTGTCATTGGAGAGCTAGAAAGTCACCTATTCTACCTTCAGACGTTGAGTTATTTTTAGTTATTTGTGCCTCCCCATAAGAGGGCTGAAGGAAAAGCAATATCCTTTAAAAAGAAGCTATGTTTCAACTGAAACAAGAAGGTGTGTACCAAAGTGCACAATGGAAATTCTTGGGAAAGTGGATACTTATGGGATCTAGGGTTGGATTAGAGGTTGTGCAGAGTGGTATGTGGAGGAGTGTCCATATAATGTATGACCTTGAACAAGTTACTTAGCTTCTCTATGCTTCAGTTTCCTCAGATGCAAAATGGAGATTCAAATAGCATCTGCCTCAAAGGCCTTAGTAAGAATTAAATTAGTTAATACTTATACAGTGCTTAAAAATAATGTCTTTAACAGTAAATGCTCAATAAATGTTAAATGGTGTTTTTATATCTTCCCCTTTTCTTCATAAGAATATTTATAAATTTTGTCAGAAGTTTATGGAACTATGAAATCAGATATCATGGAGTTTGCATGCCACACTAAAAAGGCTGGACATTTCTCAATGTTTCATTTTTCCAAATAAATATTCTTAAAATTGGTGATGATAATTTTGAGGTAACTGTTTCTTATTGGGGAATTGGGTGTCTACATTTAAAATATTTACACTATTCTAAAAAATATTTTTTACAAAAATTTTAAGGTAGTATTTTATCATTGACCAATTAAGTTATATATAAAGAGAGTGTTGAAGATGAAGTGCTTCTGTACTATTTGACCTTTATTATCCCCTTAGTTTTTCAAAAACCAGTTCCTCCATTAGAAGAGGCCCTCAAACAAATTCAGGAATCCAACTTAAAATCAGAGGTAAACCTTCCCTCTTCCCACAGACCAATAATAGGCTGGAGGTAAGTAATTTATGATTATCATGTGTAATTTACTAATATATAATAATTAAATAGTTCTCTAGTTGCTGAGTTTGTAGGCCTTTTCATCAGTTACTCCTTACCTCTGTTTTAGAGTTTACTATTTTATTTTCACACATTGAATTGAGGTAGAGTACAATATAAGCTGCTTCAAGAGTAAGGAATTTTAATTTGTTGTCTTTGGTATTACAATGCTGCCTATGTTAGTACTTTTCTATGGGAATTATCATAAAACCCATTTAAAAATATTGATATTGGTTTTACTGAGAGAAAAAAAAATTTGAGTTGTAATGATATAAATTTAGGTAAGAGGAGTAACTTTATGGTAGAAATGGGTTTTTCCTCACTGAAAATCTTTCCTGGATATCTTTAAAAAGCTACAGTCCCTCCTGGTTCCTCTCCAGGTTAGTTTAAATGAATTATCTTGAAGCAATAGGGTGGACCAACCAACCAGAGAGTACCCTCTGACATCCTGTATTTTCCATTTATTTATTATAAATGTTTCTTGAACCTACTATGTACATAGCATTATATCAGGCATTGAGAAGGGGATATGGAGAAGTGTAATATTCAAAAATATAATCCCAAGAGTATAATCTAGGAGAGAAGTAAAATAATGCTTCAAAAAGTATAGAACAGTACCAAATGGGTAATGATAATAATATTTAATATTAATTTATGTAATGATGTCTACAATTCATATGTAATTTATGTTAATATTTTACCTGTTTATAATGTTATTTACTAAAGTACTTCCATTTTTAGAATACCTGTGGCAAATAGTTCCCTTGATCAGATCTAAGAACGATTAAATTCATTCAGTCTTTATTATAGTTCAAGAAAGACTTCATGGAATAAAAAACTCTTCAGCAAAACTTTGAAGAAAATAGGAGTTAATCATGAAACAAGTGGATAGTTGGTATTCCAGACAGAGGGATGAGCATGTGGAAAGGCCAAGAGTAACAGAAGGAATGATGTGTTCTAGGAGTCAGAGATGGCTGAATAATAGAATGCAGAATACCAATAGCTCACTAGATGTGAGATTGGAGAGGTAAATGACCTACATGCTAAGGAATATAAACTTTATCCTGAGCATTTAGGAGAAGTTAAGGATTTGAGCAGATGGGAGATAAGATCAACTTTTCTTTTTTAACATATCTTTCCAATCTATTGTGAACAAGTGTTGATAACTGATTGAAAGAGGACAAAACAGGAGGCTATTTCAATATATGTAATTGAAATTATATGGGTCTAGAGCTCAAGAGAAAGATCTAGGCTTAAGACATTTGAAGCCAAAACAATGGATGAGATCACCTGTGGAGATCATATACTATGACAACAGAACTAGGTTAGAACACGAAAGAACAGTAACATTTAAGGAAGTGAAAAAAAGAGAAGCCTACAGATAGGAACAGAATGGTTGATACAGGACTATATAGTGAGAGAAGGTAGAACTAAGGAAATACAGACTTTCATGGGGAAAAAAGCAGTTTACAGAGATCAAATGGCTTCTAGGGAATCAGTAAAATAAAAAGTTTGAAAAAAAAAAAGTTTGTATCAGGATACTGGCAGAAAACATGTAATGTTTAAAAGGGGTAATGAAAAAAGGTTAGTAAGGAGACTGGGAAGCCAACAGTGGATGATGAAGCAACCCTAGAACTGACAACAAAGTCAGTATTACCACCACAGACCTGAACTGAAAAGAGCTATAGCTATACGAGAGGGCTGCTAGGTAGAGTAACATTGCCACTACTAAACCAAGCCCAGAAGAGAGGAAGCCAGAGGAACAAAGTCAGCCATAAATCAAAAGGCAAGGGATCATTTGGTCTCTGCCTAGCAGAGACAAGTAGAGAAGTATGGGAAGTGAATCAGGAGGGGCAAAGAAAAAATATCCAGCTTAGAGGCAATGTGTCCACTATACTTCATAACAAAAAAGTCACACTGGCAACTTTTGTCAGAGAAATTTCAGTGGAGGGATAGGGACAGAAAAGAGATTGTGATGAGTTGGAAAGAAATGGAGAGCAAGAAAGAAAAAATACCAAGAGTAGCTTGGCTGTGAAAGGAAAAGAACTGTAGAACAATAGCCAGAGGGGATATAGGGCCAAGATATGGCTTTTTCCCTTAAGATGGAAGAGATGTTATCATGTTTAAATATGGATGTCAAACTGATGAGTAACAGAATTGCAGTCTAGAAAAGTAGAGAATAAAAATATTAAGTGTCTTAAGTACCTATTATTCGGACATTGATTAGCAAGGGTTATACATATGAAAGAGATATGGTCCTCTGCCCAAGAAGGGTTTGCAGTTACATTATAATACTCTTTAATGGTAGTTACAGTTACAGAAATACTAGCAAAATGATAAAGAATTATGAAATTTGACGTTGGAGAGGAGACTTAAAGAATGAGTACCCATTGTCTTCTAAAGTAGCATAGGTTGATTTTAGGCATGTTCAGGCCTACATTGTTGTAAAAGACAAAGACACCTAAGGAAATAGAACTTGTTCAGAGTGGCAGGACTGTAGTATGTGTTGCTGGTAGGACAGGAGATTATCTAGAAATGTAGATTGAGATCAGATATGAAATGCTTGTATGTCTAGGAACTTTTAATTTCTATCCTATAACTAGTAGAGAATCAGTGGAGGTTTTTAAGCATGAAGTGATATAATCCTCTTTATTATTACTGAAAGATAATTGGTATGAATGTTGGAGAATGAAAAGAGTGGAAAGAAATTGGAAGCAAGGAGACTAAAAAAACTTAATGGGCTAATCCAAGGGATAGATCATTACTGCCTAAACTAAAATAGTACTATTTTGTATAGTGAGAAAAGGATAAATCTGACAAAGAATAAAAATATTTTCAGTGGTTAGAAGGAAAAGATGAGAGAAGAAAAAATGAAAATGCCTTTTCACAGCAGAGAAGAGACATAAATAAGAGTTTAAGAATATTGATCAAATAGAAGTGTAAGAATTGGAGTAGGGAAGGTGGGAGATGAAGAGGATGTGAGCTTACCTCCCCTGACAAAGAATTCAAAAATACATCCACATGTGGAACAATTCTAATGGAAAACTAACTGGAAACATGTAGAAGGACTCCTATACAACCAAGGCTGTAAGAAAGATACACATGTAATTGGCTAAGATGGCAAGAAAAGCATCAGGTAAGAGGCCTGTGCCTCTGGGAGAGGACTAAGAGGAAAAGGGAGATCACACAGGCAGACATTCACCCTGGGAAGTGAGTGGGTCAAGCCACAGACTGGACGTCCCCCTCCTGGGGTCCTACATATAGGAGACAAGCCCCTTTGGCTGCTTGGAGAACAACTGAAAGGCTAGAGAAGCCTAGACTCCACTCATGAGGAGTGTGCAAGTGTTAGCTTACCACCAGACAGGGCAGAGAAAGGTGTGCCCTCATGGCTGCTGCCTTGCCACACCCCCCAGTCTGAGCCGAGTGAATGTCAAGCCCTGCTCACTCCAAGCCACAGCTTGGCGCTGGATCTAGGCCAGACAGGACCTGGGAAAAGACTCAATCTAAAGATGCAGAGGCTACCTAGGGTCTGGGGTGTGGTCTAAGTGGAACAGTGTCCATTGTTGGCAGTTACTTAAACAGCACCCCAGAAGCAGCCCAGATTTCTGATGGCAGTGCAGGTGCTTGAACTCCCATGACCACCATTCCATGCTCCCCAGTTCCAGACAAGCAAACGCTCCAACCCCTCCCACTCCATGCCATAGCCTTACACTAGATCTGAGACGATCACAACAGGGGAAAAGATGCAAACTTAGGCTACATCTGAGTGGAGTCACAGATGCCTACAGGGCAGCATATCAGCCCTCTATAAGCACCTGAGCCCCATTTGCTTCAGCACTCCCCACCTTTGGGTCAAAGGCCCAGTGCAAGAAGAAGGAAAAACACACACTTAAAGGAAGCAGAACCAGCTTGAGCTGAAATCTCAGGGCCTCTGCTTCAGCAACTTCAGAGCAGATCTCACCCCTGACAGGGCAGTGATGACCACTAAGCAGAGTGGAAGTACAGGCTCTAACTCCTCCATTACTAGCCACATTCCCTACCAAGGTGATAGAGGCCAGCATACCATGAGGAAAGATATGACTGGCATCCACATCAAATCCACCAAATGCACTGGGCACACACAGTCTGCATAGGGACACACCCACATAAGAACACCCCTTCAAGACCACAATAGGTAACTGTTTCACCCAAAATCATAGAGATACAGAAAGTTAAATACAGTAAAAAGGCAGAGGAACCTGCAACCTAAGATTGTCTACCCAGCAAGATTATCATTTAGAATAGAAGGTGAGATAAAGAACTTCTCAGACAAGCAAAAACTAAAAGAATTCAGCAATACTAAACCTACCCTAAAAGAAATGTTGATGGGTCTTCTCAAAATGGAAAAGAAGTAAGAATCTATCAGAAAGGGAAAAATCCCAATAGGAAAGACATATGTATGGGGATTGAAGATCACTTAAATAAGCCAGTACATAGATTAAAAGACAAAAAGTTGTAAAAGCAACTCCTACTACAATAAATACTTATGGGATAAACATGAAGCTGTAAAAAATACATCAAAAACAAAATATGGGGGAGGGGAGTAAAAAACGTAGATCTTTTAGAATGTGTTCAAAGTTAAATGACTATGAGTTCAAAGCAAGTAGATATAATTATGAGTTAACATATATGAACCCCATGGTAACCACAAAGCAAAAACCTACAATAGATACACAACAACCAAAAAGAAAGAAACTCAAGCATACTACAAAAGAATATCATCAAACCATAATGGGAGAAACAAAAAGAAGAAATCAACAGAGGAAAAAATACAAAACAACTGGAAAACAAGTAATAAAATGGCAATAAGTACATACCTATCAATAAATTACTCTAAATATCAATGGATTAATGCTTTAATCAAAAGAAATAGGATAGCTGATTGGTTAAAAAAAAAAGAACAAGACCCTTCAATATGC